ATGGACGGGGGGAGATAGGAGACGTTAGACGCGGCGTGTAGACGCGACGCGCGGCCGCGCCGGTCGGGCGAAATGCATTTCAGATTACGGAACGTTTCTCGAAAGTACGTCATAAATATAAAGTGCAGGAGGAGCGCGGTTGGACGCGCGATTAAAAGTAATAAATGACGCTCTTCGAGATTTGTCGAAGCTGGCACCGAATTCTGCAATCGGTGCGGCGGCGAATGGAAATAAACAGTCCCGACGGCGCGTTATCACCGGCTCGTCGCTATCTACATAGCTTGCATAACTCCCACCGCCGTTCGCGGCCATTAATTAACCAAACGCGCGTTTTATGCAGACCCACCGCCGGCATCGGCAATCGGAATCGCTCATTCGGAATAAAGTCTTAATTAATTCACGATTGTTTACGCATTCCTTTTTTTATCGTCGCCCCGGGCGACTAGGATTCTTTGACGCGCCGAACTCACCTGCTCGCCATTTTTCCCGTCTTCTTGCCAATCGAGGGTATCAACTCTTGTAATTTACGTCCTCCTCAAGTTCGGTAACGTCGGGTTCGATCATTCTTATCGAACGTGTTGTCGTTCTGCGAGACGCTTGCAATTGTTCACTGGCAAGAACTTTGATGAGATCACCGATGGCATAAACACCAAGGAGATATAAAAATTCTAGGAGATAATCGGCGTTAATAAAACTGTCTGCCCAAACGAGAAGTCCATCGATAGTTTAGGTACTTTGTACCTACAATAATTCCGTCCATTCGCGCAGATTTGACGAGACCTTTTCACCTGTCCGACGTTTTTTCTCGAGTAAGAACAAATTTCCTGATCTGAGATTTCTCTCAAAATTAGCTGTCGAGATATCCTGTTCGCACATTCTCGAGGATGAGCAGGTGCGGTGATAAAAAATTGAAACTGAAAAATAAATAACTATCGTTATTTCAAATCATCGGGCGAAATCTTATGTCTAATAATAGTATTTCTATCAATTCGTACGATCGGTCTTTACGTTGAATGCCGAAATGCTTTGGAGTCTAAAGTGCAGAACCCAACTTTGGCATAAAACTGCGTTTCGAGAACGAACGGTAGTCGGTTTCAAATTAACAAAAATTATTATTACACGCGAGACACCGTTCGACTGAAGCTACGTCAATATTTATTTTTTCTGCGTCACGCACGTTGCTTTATCCATTCATTAAAACTGCAGATCTTGATGAACGACCTTTGTGGATTTCCCACAGAACTCTACCGATATACGTGTTGATTCCGAGAAGCTCTCAACGACCGTCCGACTGAAGCTGCGTCAATATTTATTTATTATGCGCCATGCACGTTGCTTTATTTATTCATTAAAACTGCAGATCTTGATGAACGACCTTCGTAGACTTCCCACGGGACTCTATCGATACGTGTCGATTCCGAGAAGCTCTCAACGACCGTCCGACATTCATCCGACTATCAGTTTCACGGGCGCGCGAGCCCGGGATCGAGAAGGGCGCCGGAATCGTGAGCTATTTTCGATCTCCTATCGAAATCAACGGTGGAACAAACTCGCGCGTGTTCCAGTCACATTCGAAGATCGTTCATTCTGAAAGCCGATGAGGCGTGACGGAGGCGACCGATGGATTCCTAGATCCCCATGGCCGATGCCGTGGCTCGTTTACTGTCCTCTGTCCTCTGACCGGTTCCAGGATCGAGATACCGATAACGCGGATGATCGATGCCGGACCGCGCGGACAGAAAATCGTCGATGACAGTGCGACGGTGTCGAACATCGACGTCTCATTTACTCCGTCGAATGCGAACGGGCGGCCCTTCGTCGCACCGATCGCGTTGTCGTAGATTCCTCACAGGACGAGACTGCCGGAGACGATGTACAAACGTCCATTTCCAAAAGATAATAAGGCAAAGCACGCGAATGCGCAAAAAGATAGTAAAATTTTCCCGCGACAGAATTGCAAATGTTTTTTCGATCAATCGCGAGAGCAATTAAAAATGCGCGAAGGGAACCTTCCGCACTTTTTACATCTAGTGGGGCATGCGACGCGAACAGACCTTAGAACTGTCATGCTTATTATTTGAAAACTATCATAGCCTCGATATTTTTATATTAGAATTTTCCTCTTGAAATTTTCTTAAGAATCTGTGATTAAAAGGATATCCGGTGGTTTTAGTACACCCTGTATAACCGTGAACCGGTTATAAATAATCTACTAATCAACTTCTAAAAAGTACAGTTAATACTATTATAATGTTATCGGCCATCTAACCTATAACTTATTTTTGAAGAATGACTAATTTTTTATTAGGTTTCTAAACTTAATTATAGCGATACCACGCTATTCTTTCATTTAGTCTGAATAGTGAAACACTGTCGGTCTGTACACAGAAGCCACATAATTTCTATATTACACGATTGTTTCCATGAAGTGACAGTTCTAAGAGCAAAAGGTGCAAAAGGTGCAGAATCACTCCAGCATTCCCTTAGCGGACAACGGCAAAAAGAGGGAAAATTTGCGCGAATGTTTGTCCAAAGATGACCATCGGTGGGCAGTATTATCCGTCGAAAGTAACGGGGCCTAGACTGGTAGCGAAGAGGGTTGTCCGTCTCTCTTTCTCTCCGTCGATGCGGATGACGCCATACAGTGCCGCTCCTTTCATCCGTCGTCCTTTTTCGGCGTAGAAATTCAACGAATAATCGCGCGCTGAAATCGCATCGGCGCGCTCGCTATGCGTCCTCAATGCGGCGCGATGCATATTGCATGGCCGAAGGAAAGCCGCTCGCCGCCGTCGCTCGCGTCGCAATCTCGTGCGAACGCGGACTTCTCTTGGAAATCGGAACGCGGGGCGACGTTCGTGAAACAACATTTATATAGACCTTTTTTTTACAGCTCTCGACGAGCGCAGGCAGGAAATCGCGACCCGAACAAGTAAAATCTCAGCAAATAAATAAATCACGCCTCTGATCGAGACCTCTTGTTTTCTCTCTCTCGATCGCCGGGTTTCGTGTATCATAAATTACGGCCATTATGTCGTGATCGATGTTAAATTTAGCCGTTAATAAATTTACACTCGTCTGTAAAAACTCGTTGAAAAAAACGCACACTTATTTATCGTATTTTTATATATTATTATTACGAATGTTGCCAAAGCGAATTTATAATCTTGCCCCTTTTTTACGCAAAATCTGTCAACTCGCGTTTCTCGCGGCGCGACTTTTTTTCCCGTGGAAAAGGGAAAGAGACATAAATCGATAACGACATAATAGACCGGCAAGTGGGATGTTTATGATGTCCCGTAACGCTCGTTGCGAGCCTTGAAGGAGAGGGGGAAGTACTAACGCGGCCTTACAGAATTCCGCTTCTGCGCTCGGCTCTTGTAATTTACGCGAAGTTGGTATCCAGCCTTGCGTAATTCGGTCCGCCGCGCGGGATATAATTTCAGCTTTAATAGCCGCGGGACGCATCGCGTTTTCATAGCTCCGCATAATCGGGCCGTTAAGTCGTCGACGCCGCGCCGTCCGCGAGAAATCCAACGAATGCCGCGCGCCCGTCGCCGACGCGGCCGGACAAAGCCCGTAAATAAGACGGGAGATATGAATAACGAGCGGGAGCCGCGCGCCCAAGAGGCCGTTTAGATTCGATTCGCGGTTTTACACTTGATAATAGGCCTGAATTTATATCTCGATACCCCGCAAGATTCCGAGGCGATGGATTAACATTGCACGACCGGAAGACGCGAGAGACGCGACGTTGCAGGCTCCGCGACAAGTCCATTCCCCGCGGCCGATTTAAAAATGCGTTATTGAGATTCGTTTTTTTCTTTTGCGCGCGTATAAATGGAGCGCGCCGGGATATTCCACCATTATTGCCGGTCAGCGAATCCAGTCTGCCAGTTGACCAACTGGTAAGACAGGACGGACAATGTGCGCGCCGCTTTTTGTTAGGTGAAATTCTGGTTCACCATCGCGCCGTTTGCGCACCATCGTGCGACTTTCCATTGCGTCTCCTTCGTGGAAAATGACGGATTCTGTGGCCGAGAGTTGATTCTGTGAAACTGTGCGAACGGAATAATATGCAATGCTAGTTTGTACGTGTGTCCGAGAGAAAAACCACATTAGGTGGCATTTCTGCGCGAAAAAAATCGCACGCGGAATCTTTCAGCTTGACATCGTGGATCTTTTTCTAAAAAATGTCGCGATAACTCTCATTCGTTATACAGTCGGTGGCTATTTTTCGACTTGGATCCCCGAGTCGAGTATTTGGCCCTGGAATGGGCCTCAATTATTCCATTCTGTCTTCATTTGGACCTCGGAGTCGGTTTAAAACTCCAATTCGAGACCTAGATGAGTAAAAAAACTTGTTTAGCCTCATTCTAACCCTTAAAGAGAATGTAATAATTATGTTAATGAAGGCTCTGTGTAAGAACAATAGTGAGTTAAGATAAGGGCGATAAGAGCCTTTGACCATTTTTAATACGATATTTAAAGGTGTTTTCACATAGATGGAAATGAACAAGAACACACCAACTTATCTTTTTGAGTGTTAAATATCGACAAATTAATTAACGTCAGATGTTTCGGTTACTAAAGGTAACCCTTTTCAAGGACAGTTTTCCAATACATAAAGAAAGAATGTTGAACCTTTTAAGAATGTAATAAAATATTTTACCCTCTTCGAAACCTCTTAGGCCGAAGAGGATCTACCGCACCTCTGTTGATTATACTCGCATTGGTCTCTTCGCTGCTGAAAGGGAAATAGCGACTCTTTTCAAACCTATCAGAGGTAAAAAAATTCAATATATGTATATTTTCTCCGACCTCATTTCTCCCCATTAAAAAATTATACGAGGCTAGAACGAGGCCAAAATATTCGACTCGGGTTCATTTCGAAGGAACCTCGAGAGCGCGCTGATCGAGACCTGCGGAGAACTCGAAGGGAACTCGCGATTGGAAGGATGGGAGAGACGTGGGGAGATACAGACACATACAGACACGCGGCGTATATTGTCAAAATATATTCAATGAAAAAATGATCTTGCAAAAGTTTGGACAATCCTGCCGCATCGTTACAAGGAGGACTAATAGTAGGAGCAATAATAACAGTAGTGTCCTGCGTATCCTCATTTACTATTACTTTTACCTCTCGCCTAGAGAAGCACGACCGCTACCGAATGCAATTAATAGGGCCCTACAACCTATAACGGTGCCTTAAGAGAAACGCACGAGGAACGTCCTTTATTTACAGTAATAACCAGGTCGAACCGTGGGTTGCTTCTTCGCGGGTTTGTCGCGGTCTGATCTTGAGCAATAATTACAATAACGCGCGGGTTCGCAGCTCGTTTCCTTTCTTTTATAAATAATTCCCTCGTCAAAATTCAGCGTTTCGCTCGAGCGCTCGACGGAGATCCGACTGATCCTCAAGTTGGTTTAGTTTTGCACGGATGTCTGCTTTTATTTACAGAGAACGCGACACGATTAGAAAAATATGCTTAGAAGATACAATCGGAAAACTAGAGAAATCTCGATTATTTATCAATTGACCAGCAATAGTCAGTTTTATTAAAAGATTTGGAAACGTTTCGCAAATAAGAAGGAAAGGACATATATGTACAGGAAAACTGTAAAATGGTCTAACTAATAATCGAATAAATTGATTCGTCACCTAATGAAAGTAATAATTGACGCTCCCCGAGCGTAAAAGATCGTCGAGGATGACGGCAACTCTCCTCGAAAACTCGCGAAACGCCGAATTCCCACACAGCACTGGTAATGTTCGCGATCCTTAATTAAACTTAGGCGAATAAATAGATCTCGTTCACTAATTACATTGCCCTTCGACGAACGACTTTAGTGTTCTGCGACGGGGCGCCGCTATTCGAGCTACAATAAATACAACGATTTTATCGATTAAACAAAATTGCGCGCATCAGCGCGCACAAATTTTACATCGTCTTCGATCCGAAGCGAGCTCTCCCGTTCGAGAAGCCAATTTTTATTTTATTTCACCTCGATTTTCGCCAGACGGCAGTCGAGGGACGGGCCTCTCGTCCGTGTTTCGTCGGTCGAGAGGAACCTCAGACTTCCCTCTCGAGCGAGGGAAGTCGGCGCTCTCGGAGAGCGCGCTCCTCGACCCGCCCGCGGATTTCCGCTCGCGGAAAACGCGTCGTCCCTCTTTCCTTTTTACACCCCCGCGCTCGCAGACTATTCACAATTCATCGTCCCCACGCACTCGCGAGCGACTTCACTCACGTGAGGAACCGTCCGGAAGGGTGCACATCCGAATACATCCGGTGTCCCGCAGCAGGACGTGGACGCGCGAACGAGAGCGCGGATTCAGGATCACGTCGGGGATCACGCGCAGTCCAGGGACGCCAGGGACGCGGGACTGTGAGGACCGCCGAGCATGAAGGGCGGACTCATCGGCGGCCCGCCGCTTCCGGTGCTGTTCCCGTAGAGCTCAAGGTCGCCGAGATTACCACCGTCCACCCCCCCGTCGCACTTGTCGGACTTGCCCTCCTGCTTCAGCACCATGCGCCGCCATTTTGCTCGCGCGTTCTGGAACCAGACCTGGGAACAAGACGAGCAGAGGGTTCGGCCGTTACGTACGACGGCTTGACGCTGGGAAAAGTCGAATTGCGGGGGAAGGAAACGCGATCGGTCCCGAATTGACCAACAGATTCGACGTAAAACGTCTTCGAGAGCCAATGACAGCGACGTTACGTTTCCGCGACGTTTACGTGGAAAGAATTCATGAGCGCTTTATGTTGGATAACAGTTTTCCTTCTACCATTCACGTGCACCCGCACGTACGCACGCACACACACACAAACACACGGACGGATGCACGTGCGCGCGGCCTCCTCCATATTCACAATAGATGAAAGACGACGCGATCGGTGCGACGTCGCCATTTTCCAAGACAGTCTCCTCCCCCGCGGACTCGCGACGAAAGAACTCGCGAGCGGACTACTCGTGCGTGTCCCCCCTCGAGTGCGTAAGCGAGCGCGCGCGCGCAAGTGTACGTGCGCTTCGCGATCAATATCAAGCAAGATGGCGACCAAGAACCCTACGAATACAATAGCGGCCACCTCCAACCCTCTCCTTCGGCTTGGCGCAGAAGCGAGGCGATGTAACAACCGGAATGATTGTTATGCGGAAGACCGGAGGAAACATGGCGATCAATTTTTAAGCGACGTCACTTTTTCCTCTAAAATTGCGTTTTCCGCGACTACTTTAAGTGCAAAAATTCAGACTGTGTTCTCAGCGATACAGAAACATTGATTTATCTAAAAAGTACTGAAATAAAAGGTGATTATGCTAAGTAATCAAAACAGTTGTTTCTTTTCACCGTCTTTTCTTACTGTTTTTTAACATGCTGAAGAAAACACCGTAGTGTTGAATCGCATCCAATCGTTGCATTTTATTCTGTAAGTAATCGTAATCGATATTATAATGTAAAATAAATTTGTTACTCTTATAATAATTCTATAACCTCGTCTAATATATTGGCCGTGACACCAAACAATTGTTATTACTAAAAAACGAGCGTGAATTTTCATTTAATAAATAGAACTTAATTTTTCATGTTTCGACAATGCACAATTCGGTATGTCAGAATCTTCCCTTTTTAAACTTCATGTTTTAGAGCCTGATCTTCAGATACATCTGATGCGAATTTAGAATATATGGAACCTCGAGGAATACTCGAACTTTGTTACTCAGGAATTGTTGATTGTGTAACGTCATAAGTTTTCAACAGTCTTGCATCCAATCTTTAAAATTGAAACTGGACGGGCGTCGAAAGTTAAGTCTGCATTTATAAAAAGCCAAACCGAATGTAAGAAAGAGAAGCTCGGCCGACCCGAGGCTCCTCGTTTCCATGCCACTACGTTCTCGCCTCGCCTCATTTACCTTTAAATCGTCAGTATCTCCCGCGCTCGATCGTTCTCCCTCTTCATCCGCGCGTCCATGGCACGCTTCACAAAGGAACGCGCGCGAAACTTTCGTAACAACCTAATAATTTAACGGTAGTGGGTTAACGAGAGCGAGCCGGCGCTCGGGTCCGACGTTACGACGAGGCTTAGCCGTCCGCCGCGCCGCGCCGGGGTTTTGACTGTCTCCGGATTGACGCCGGCTCGTAATTACGGAGAAAGGCCGCAGCCTCTCGTCGACGGAAATATCGCTCCGTTCCGCGCGGTTCTTTTAACTTCGCAGCCACGCCGTACGCGCCGCACTAATTGGGAGAAGCGCGCGTGTCTACGCGCGGCTCGCGTACGTGAATATTTTTATAGGGCGCACCCTCCCGAAATGCGAGAGAGGCAAAGGGACCGAGCGAGAACCACCGGCTATCCATCTTTGGATTTTCCTTTTGCGCCCGGGTCGCCCGTGATCTCGTTATTTTTTTCATTGTGATTTATATATTATACATATACAGGGTGTTATGTAATACCCGCCTCACCTCTTATATTTACGGGCAGAACGGACTAGAGTCGAAAAGTCCTCTACGATTTTGCAATTTTCGCAATAGTTAACGAGTTATTAATTATTAAAAATCGCTGTCTCAGCCAGGTCTACCGCCCAATTCGAGCGCGCTGTAAGATGTGGCCGTCCCGCAATCGGCGTTGCTAGTAGCAGGGAGTTGTTTATTATACGTAGCCCTTGCCATGTGTCATAAACAATTCCTCGCGTGCCTAGCAATGCCGATCGCGGGACGGCCGCATCTCATCGCGAGCTTGAATTGGGCGGAAGGCCGGGCTAAGACAGCAATTTTTAATAATTAATAACTCGTTAACGAAATTGCGAAAATTGCAAAGTGGTAAAGGACTTTTCAACTCAGCCTAATCCGCTCTATCCGTAAATAAGAGGTAAGGCGGGTATTACCTAACACCCTGTATAAGGTTTGACAAGTTAGATCCGCTACATGGTGGATTTTACCTACTTTTACGAAAATCTAAAGTCACGCCAAACGCAACTTAAAATTGATAAATTTATGAATGCTCGATGTTTCGCAAATATTTTTGGAGATTCACGAGAGAGACTCAACATTTCAATTGTCTAAAATGCCATCTGAGGATTTTCCCCAAAAACTTCATTACACGTTAATTAAACCGAAGCATATTGCATTTTACAATATGTTTCGTATCGAGATTAGATATGGATAAAAGTGGTCAAAGTCACAGTGACAATCGCCTCAGCGAGTAACCACCTTAAGACCTACATTGAAATCGAAACGAGGAAATTCCAATTTCAACACCGCGGACAACCGGCATCGAGAGAAAACGCGGAATTGCGAGCGGCGCGAGTCGAACGGGCTCTGTTTACCTGCAACACCCTTTTCGGCAAGCCAGTTTTCTGGGAAAGCTGCTTGAGATCCTTCGCGTCGGGATTGTGATTGATCGCGAAGTAGCTCTTCATCGTCCTCAACTGGTGGTGCTTAAAGCTCGTTCTCATCCGTTTCGTCCTGCTGTTGGAGCCGGGTATACCGGGGGTCCCGGGGCCTCCTCTGCCGAAGGGCATGTCTATGTAGTCCGCGTTTAGGTCTGCAACATAATCCAGAAACGGCACCGTCATCGACGTCGATCGGACCGCGATTGAAAGCTGTTCCAGAATTCAACGTTTAACGCGCTGTCTGCCGGCAATCTTTCGTTTGTGTCTCACCGCGTACAGTAGAATTTTCATAAACACAAGTGATCAAAAATATGGTATAATATAATTAAGAAGGATTACATCTCCTCGGGTAGCGTGTTAAATTCAACACTTTTTACTTTATTTGAAGGAATAAAGGATTACGAGCAGTGACAGGGTGTTAGTGTCTAAATATTTTATTCTAAATTTATTGCGAAAAAATATACGAGCCAGGGTGATATTAAAATACTTAGACTAACATGCTAACACCCTGTCACGGCTCGTAGTCCTTTATTCCATCAAATCGCTATCGTTTATCACATTTAAACCATACCAATTTTATTAATCAGTTTTTACTCTATGTCGTAGATCATCTATGTGGATATTTCATATCGATGTTGTATATTAAAATTTTATATCAAAGGGCAATTATTCTTGATAAGCGTTTGAAAACGTTTCGATGACCATCAGGGCGTCGTTAAAAAATGAAACGCCGATCACGCGTGACTATCGTCGGCAACGAACGTGTTAAAGTTTTAATCATCTAAAATCTCGAGAAGATTCCGTAAATTTAAAGAATCGAAGAACGAGTCCGGAGACACGAGCGAACCCATGTTCCACGCCACCGAATCAATTTGCCCGAGCTCGCTCGCGCAACGTCGACAGTATCATCCTTGTAGGCAAAGGAGCGCGATAGATCGGCGCGGCTGTGAATGAGGTATCGTGCCTGCAAACTATTTGCTACATAGAGCTGTAATTGGCCGTGTATCCATCGGCCTTTCGCATACGCTATCGCCGTTTCCCTGCCCCTCTAATCCGCCTCTTTGCACTCGAGGAGCTAATGAGCTGTGATACGCATCAAACAGCGTTAGAACCAGCTTCCGTCGCGTAGGCTCAGCGCGATCGCCCGTGCTCGAAACCAAGCCTAGTCGACGACTCTATCCGAGAATCGAACGAGAACAAGAATCGACTCGGAACGGGACGATGGATGGAGAAGGTTTGACGGGTGCAACGAACCATCGCTTTTAGATCATTTTCGAAAGGTCGTGTCTCCAAATTCATCCCAATTTCAATCGTAGCTATCTGTCCCTCTTCGCTTCCTGTTGCGAGAGCAAGGCTTTTCCAGTGTTGCGATCTAGCGAAACCACCCGTTGTTCAGTCGACCGTGACTTTGCTGGTTAAACAATTAAACACGGGCAATCTGTACGAGCGATTTGTTCGTGCGCACGACCGCACGCTGCGAACTACAACTATAACTCAGGTGTTACCGAACGTACGGCCGGGTATCTCGCCTCGAAAGCGTGGATCGTCGCGGCCCCTGGCAACGGCCGTAAAAAATTGCCTGCATGATCCACGATAGATCAGAGACCAGCTTGTGGTACCGGGCGATCACCTGCGCGCCGCTACAATCCTTTTTCACGGCAGCGACACGGCGACACCGAGCGACCTCCTCCAGCGAGAGCGAACGGGAGAAAAAGAAGCACAACGAGGAGGTGGCAAGTGCCATGGAAGTCTCGACGTCCGCAGCGGTTCTTCGGCCGGAGCCTCGGCTTGTTCCCACGATCGGTCACGACAATCAACTCGGAAATTGAGTTCTCCCGGCCTAACCGGCGCGACGTGCCGCCCACGCGTCGCTGTTTCGTCGAGGGATTCGATTCGGGAATTTATGTCGCGCCGACAAATTTTATCAGACTTCGGTGGCAAGCGTCGCGCGCCCACGCACGCCCGTAAATCACGCCGGGTCGGTCACGTGGTCCCTCCTCGAGGCGGGGTGGCGCGATCGGAGGTCGCTTTTCAGAGGTCGGAGCACGTCTCTCCCCGACGTCTAAGGGTGCGTATACACTACGGCGAACGAACGGCGAACACGAATGTTCGGACGTTCGTATTCGAATCCCGTCCACACTGCGCACGAACTTTCGACTCGGACCGAAGGCGAATCGAACACTACCGATAGTTCAGTTCGCATTCGCTGTGGTGTACATATCTGTCTAATTCGCTGTTCGTTCGCCGTAGTGTATACGCACCTTTACGGACTCTCGTGCCGTCCTAAGCTCGCGAATGATCCTCGAAACCGTGGGACCGCGAGATTTCTCGAATTTTGAGGCGTTCAGCGCCTCAGAAGCTACGGGACTTGCAGACATTCCGAGACTACGATCTCTTTGCGCAAGAGACAACGTCGCTGATTCTTTTCGCATCCCTGGATTCTCTCGCGTTTGACCCGAGTGTAATCGAAAGATTCGCACTTACCAAGACTCGCGGTCATACCCTCGATGTCCTTGGGCTTCCTCTTCCTGGGCCTGCCCTTCTGCCTGGGCGGCGGGACCACGGCGGCGGCGCCGTTGAAGTAGGGCACCTTCGGCGGCGAGGAGGCGTCGGGCATGGAAGGCGTGGAGGGCAACGGCACCGGGCTGACGTGACTGTGCGGGTGCTGGGGGTGCATCGAGTGATGAGGGTGCGGCGGCGCGTGATGGTGATGAAGATGATGGTGATGGAGGAACTCGGGCGAGGGAAAGGGCTGGCCGGGGTAGTGCGGCCCGGGCGGATAGACCGGGACCGGCGGGCTCTGGGCCGGATGCAGCTCGGCGCCCATCTCGTAGTGCAGCCGACAGAGCACGGCGCCGTCCCGCATGCCGAAGTGGTCGCCCTTCGTCAGCAGCACCGCGCACGCCGCGCACGAGAAGCAGCGCACGTGGAAGACGAGCTCGCGCGCGCGCATCACCAGCTCGGACGCCAGGATCGCCGCTTGGCAGCGCGCGCACCGCTTCATGCTGCCGAACATCCTGCGAACACAACAACGGAGGGAGATCAATATTGGTGCCGTGGCGCACGCTGCACCCGCTGCGCGGGTCGCGTCGAGCCGAAGGTCGCGTTTCAGCGCGTTAACGATTTCATCTGTACGTTCGCTTGCTTTTTCACGGTTTAAGCAGTGGGGGTGGGGGGGAAGGGAGGGATTGGAATGCCGAGGTGATAAAAATTTTTTGAACGCCACGAAAAGCTTCCACCTCACGCGATCGAACAAGTGCGCGCGCTATTATTGAAGCTACACGCGGCGCTCCGGTCCTTCAATAAATCTCTCGCGCTCGGTTAATCGAGAGAAAAGAAGGAAAATAATCTCCACGAAAATGAGCCTCATCGCGGCTAGCAGCGCTATCCAATATAAACACATTCCGCACGTCCGAGCGCTATCGCGCCGCGATGATACCCCCTCGGTATCGACCAATGTCCTCGATAGAGTTCCGCTGAGGACAGAGAGAGAGAGAACACGTCAAGGGAGCAGGAGGGAAAGCACGAGAAAAAGTGAGGAGGGGAAGAAAGAGAGCAAAACGGTCCTCCGGACGTGCGGGTCGGCCGATATCGCGAAGGCCGGCGAAGATACGTCCGGTGGTCCCTCGCGAGGCGGGGGAGAGCGGGAGGGGGCGGAAGGGCGGAAAGGGAGAGAAGGAGAAGGAATATACCGATGCACCGGGCGCCGTGACATCGCTACTGCATTAGCGGCACCCTGCAGTCTCCATTACCGGAGCCGGTCGACTATCTGGCCGACAACCAAGCCGCGGCTACCTACCTAACCACTTATCTCGCTCCGCGCCTTCCAAATATATTACCACCCCGCCCCGCGCGCGCCCCCTACTAAAGAACCTAGATAAAGACGTGGGTCGATCTTATAACGCCGATCCCGGAGCCGGTCCCGGGAAGGTACGCGCGGCCCTTTACGACGCCCCGGTCCGCCGGGGTACCGGATCGGAAATGGACGATTTCGGCGACGGTAGAACGAACGGCGATACGCGCCTTTCGCCGAGGCGGCAGAAAAGCTCGCGCGGTCTTCAACCTCCGCTGTAAAGGCCGAATCAGACCAGCGATTGTCGACGCGGATTGGATTGGCGATTGTCTGCTAGCCACTGAAAGTCAATCAAATCGCTGCTTTGCTCTTATTGGCTAGAGGAAAATCGTCAATCGCCAATCCTATCCGATTAGGCAAATGCTGGTCTGATTCGGCCTTAAGTCTCGTGGTCCATTAAGGATCAGTGCAGAATCACTCCATGCTGGAGTGATTCTGCACTTTTGCTTAAAACTGTCTGTTTCATGGAAACATTTGTGCAATATACAAAGTAAATGGCTTACGTGTAGATCGAAAGCAGCTTGCTATTCCGGCTAAATTAAAGAACATGGCATCACTGAAGCTAAGTTTGTAAGTCTAATAAGAAATAATAGTGAGCAACGTACTACATGTAGTACTGTATGTGCATTCTTAATTTAAGCACTTTAATTTCATCTGTCGGTTTTCGAACCAACAGACCCTGGAATCTCAAATCGTTGACACTGCGCGATCCCTCGCGTTAGTATTCGACGCGGAGATTTCACTCCGGTCTTTTCGGTCGTCGTTCAAGCTCCTTGAACGATTGATGTATACGCGCGTGGTGTTGTGCAAGTGAAATTTCCACAGATCGGAGATATCGACGAGAATGAAATAGGCGAGGACAAAGGGAGGATGTGAGTGCACGAAAATGCCACTCGCGATACAATCTGCGCGATTGAAAAATAAAGAAATACGGAACAAGTACGTGCAAGAGAAACGGCATGTTGAAACGGAATAATCTGCATAGATGAAAGAAATTACGTAAATTATATCGACCAAATGTCGATCGCACGGAAGTACCGTACAAATAAGATGAAAGTGTTCCGACCATTCTGCTGAAAGCGTATTCCGATTTCTGCAAACAAAATGAAACTAAACCACAAGGAAATATGAATGCATACGATTACGATTTCAAAAAGCAAAGTGATTTAAAATGGCGGTCGACAAAGGGAGGATATTCTTTCTGGTGTTGACAGTTCGAAAACGGAAGAGAATCGTAAATTCGAAGGGCTTTGTAAGACTTAATCTGTGAGACTAACCGCACCAGGGTCCCTCGCTCCTTCAGGGGCTCTTGACTCGAGACACATTGTTATCGTCTCTGATCCTATTGACTACCCTACCCTCAATGGGGCGATGACCACGGGTGAGGCTGGTTGGTCTCCAACGGCGTGTAAGACCGCATATTTTCACCTAATCGGATCTGTCGTACCCTGTTCGCTAATCGAGCGAGATACCGTCGGTTGAAGAAAATTGAAAGTGAAAAATACGTGGTAACAGTGTACAAACAGTAACAAAAATACTCTCGAGTAAGCTGTTTGAAAAATATGTCGTCAAAACGTATCACAAGTACGTAAAAATATTTTTCTAAAAGATACAAATAATATCTTGTAATCTCGAGAAGGATGAGAGGAAAAGCACAACGACAGGCAGTTTAACAATTGAAATACCAACTGTGTCGGGTATGGCGCGATCGAAGGGGACTCGCCGCGAGAGTCTCGACCAGATAACTTTCTGCCACTAATCTACCGTCAACAGGTGAGATCGGCGTTTTCCGGAAGGAGTATAATTCACGTTCCCCCGGGGGCTACGAGCGGAAATACGAGACGTGGCGTGAAACTGCGCGAGACAGTCGCGGTGTGACGCATAACGCGGGCTAAAGCCCTCGCAACCCAACCGTGTTACCCTCAAAATCCCATAAAACATTCTCCCCCCGTTATTTATACTTCTCTCGGTGAAACGCCACACCCCGTACTTGTGCGAGCGTCCGACCCGACCCGACCAGCCATCCCAGGTAAAACGCTTGCCGGGGCGATCGGGAACGAGGCCGAGCGAAATCCGCAGACTCTCCGGCCCCCCCGTCGAACGCGACCTGGAGGCGGTTTTTTCGGGACCTTTCGTCACCTCTAAGGCCCCGTCGAGCCGGATGAATGAACCGGGGGCCCCGGGAACAATCTCATTCGGGTCTTCATCCTCGGCTCGGGACAAGACGAGAACGGGCGAGCGGGAGCGGAGGGCGGGAGGAGGGGAGGAACGCCCGCAGAGTTTTACAAGATGCGCCATATGCGATACATTATTATACAATGCGGGAGAGAGGCGCGCTCTAAGCGCGCCACAGTTCCTCTCCTCCGAGGGGGAGAAAAGGGCGGCGGAAATCCTTTATGGAGCTCGCGCCGAGCGCGGCGGACCGCTCGCCGCGCGTTCGCACACTCGGACCACGTGGACTCGCCTTGCCTCTTTCTTCTCTTCCTACGGTCCTTTCTTCTTCCGGTCCCGAAAGAGAGAGGGGAGGCGAGACGCCGCTCGCAACGAGAGAGATTTCTTCTTATGCCGCGAGAGATCGGACCGCCTTCGCGTTTGCACGCGACGTGTCGCGACTCCCGAACGCGGTATGATAATTGGCGGTCGGAGTTCACGTGCGTGTCACCGAACGACTTCCTCGTTCCATCGCGACGCCGCGCCGCGCCGCGCCGCGCCGGGAGGAAACGAACAGCCGTGTCCGCTACCGAGAAGCCCGATTTCTCACGGCGCGGCGGTCCAGAGGTCCGCCATTTACATAACGACGTTGGCGCGCCGACACGCTCGCGACGCCGCTGCGCCGGGGCGAGAGGACCCGGTGTATCGATGTCATACTTAGCGTCCTTACGCCCGTGCGTCCGTCTCGTCCACTTTTTCACGTCGACCCGTGTGTCGCCGGCGCATTTCTCAAACCGCGCGCGCACATTTATTTCGCGCGCCGCGCGCGCCGCACAATCGGCGGATCTGCCCGATTAGATCTGCGCCCGCGGTTATCGTCAGATGCATTAATTACCGGGTGTACGCCGGGGGGAATTCCGCTCGGCAGCGGCTGCCCCGACGGCTTTTATCGTGGAAATAATAATTTACGGCATCGGTGTCGCCGGGCAAGGCCGGGGCCGCTTAATCCCCGAACCGCGGCGCGCTGCAGAGAACGGGTTGCCGGTAGAAACCTATCGGAGGCCGCGGCGCGATACAGGGTGTCCTCTGAGGTGCGATCTCGCGGCCGTCCCTCGCGCCGATTTCGGGCTAGATCTTCTTAGCGCGAGATCTTATTATTTGCAAAGTGCTGCTTTAAAAATTACCCTAATGAATTAATGAAGGACAAAGTTTGTGACGAAAAACATGCCCGATAATCTTCATCCCCGTAGCGTTTATGCTGGCGACATTCGTACGGAAGATACTGCCCATCTGTCTCGGTAACGATCGTACACTGAGAGAATTTTCTTTTAAAATTTACCCTGAAAATCATGTAATCGTGGGACAACACACGGCATTTTGAAGAATTTTTTGCGAGTTTTTGGAAATTTTACCATACAACTTACTAGTAAAATGTATACTAACAATAAGTATAATTATTAGTAAAATGTATACGGTAAAATTTCAAAACACTTTCAAAATTCTTCAAAATGCCCTGTTGTCCGGCGATTAAATTTCAAGAGAACATTCTTTCCGTGTAATTGTTTCGACAATTTTCACGCAACCTAGAATTTATTTTACGGTATTTATATCGACAATTATTTGTAGAAATATTTGTATCACCGCGAATACACGTGGAAAAAAATTCCTCTATTATGAGATAGCAGGTTATCAACGTCCGAATTCAACGCACATCTTTTTTCGCAACGATTACACCATTCGACAATCAATTTCCCACTTCAAGGGCAATAAATTCATGGTGGAACCGACAGATGATGGCTATTAATTTAGCAGAAACTCCGCTATCTCATGTTGGAAGCCTATCTCATAATAGCGGACTTTCCTCTACGAATTGTTAGCAAAAATGTTACCACCATAAAACTGCATTAAGTTTTATATTACATTATGTATTGCATGTTGAATAATATTATATCGTATGTTATGTATCGAATTTTAGCAAAACTATTCGCATTGCTTGGACACTGCGTATATAGC